AAGAAACGCGGATCGTTTGCATTTCGTTTCAAACATGTAATAGCTCCTAAACCAACAACTTCATCCTCAACGCTCGGAAAGGGCACATCCTTCAATCCCGAGCCTCTCCCTTTTTCGACTCGTCAGCTCTCCCCTTCTCCTTACTACGTAACACTTCTAATTCTAACTCTAATTCTGAAATTCTTGCATTTGAACCTCCTCCACTTCTCAACCAGTTTCCTCTTGAATCCTTTCTTCCACAATCAGCAGCTCTGTGTCTTCCTTTCCCACATTTAAAACATAAGCCTTTCTCCATCCTTCTTGCCATTTCCTCCTTTGAAACACCTGGTCGGGAATACTCCACTCTCGCTGTCGATAGGTCCATGGCGTCTGGGTCTCTGGCGGTGGTTGGTACTGTAGCTCGACCTGCCGTACGGTTAATGCCCGGATGGATTTCGTTATCGATAGCTAGTGCGAAGGCGGAGATGTCTGGAAGTGAGTCAAATGTTTTCATGATCATATTAACTTGAATTTCTTGTTTCAATCCAATACGGTAATGGCTCATGTGTTCTGAGTCGCCCCAACCAGTACGTGCGGAGAGGGACATGAACTTGGTGGTGTAGTCGGCAACAGAACCGGTTTGCTGCAGCGCTTGAAGTTCACGTTGAGCGCGGTTCTGTCGGTCAGAGTCAAAATACGTGGCTTTGAAGGCGTGACCGAAATCCTTGAACGTGAGTTTTTCTTCTTCGTCGCCATGTAATAATGGACGGTAGATCGGGGCTGCCCATTGATTAGCTTCACCCGTCAAGTATGATAAGGTAAACACAATCTTGGTTGTATCGTCAGGGAACAAGTTTGGGTTGGCTAATATGTACAGGCCGACTTGGTTGACAAAAGCCTCGGCTTTGTCTCCCTTGGTACCGTCAAATTTGTCCGGAGTGCCAATCTTTGGGTTCCTTGAACTACTCACGAGTGATCTGAGATCGGCTGTCGTCACCGTTTTGGCTGTCGTAGTTTGAACAGGTGGTGGTACTGCGGCAGTTGGTTGTACCGGGGGTGCTGCTTGGGATTGATTCCCAGCATTGAGCTGTTGCACGAGGTTGTTTAATTGATCCTGGGTGGCTTGTCGTTGGGCTGATTCATTGTCCAAGAGTTCCTGTGTTTTTCGGCGGCATTCTACTTCTTTGTCTAGTCTAGTGCTCAGCTTTGTAAGCTGATCGAGTATGGATGCGAGACTTATTGAAGATTCCGAACCTTGTTTGTCTGATACTGAGAAGATTGCCGTTTTTACTAAGATCTTCAGTTGACTAATGCAACCTTGTTCTTCCGATTTTCAACCTTCTTCTTCGTTCTTGCAGATGTGCTTATTCTTTCTTTTCAACTAATTTAAAGTTCTAATCTGAGTTAATCTGATTCGACTGTATCCTAATCCGGGGTTATTCAATTCCTGGTATCGACTGCGGTGTGATAGATACTGCAATATGTTATGAACCAAGATGCAGTGAATACGATGAATGATACCCCAGGTGTGATAATGAGATTGCAGTATGAGGAGAGAAGAGTACAACGTGCAGACTCTAATAGGTGAAAAAGGTACAACTCCCACTACTAGCATAACTGTATATAAGCATAATGATATCGAGTTATAACAGCAAGAGAATACCTCAGATAGAAACCTTGGACAAGGTCTGTCCGAGGATTTGCCTCTGATGATGCCTTGGATTTCTCAACCTGAGGCATCTATGTTGGCAGTGCCCTAGCCAAATTTAACCTCACAATAAACCATATTTCCATTGATTGAATTTGGAATCAATTTAATTTATTACGTTCAAAGGTTTGCAAGGTTCATGAAAAAGTACAGTGGAACTTAGGAAATAAAAGTGGGTAAAGGGGATGAGGTGAGGGTGGTTGAGAGTGAGATTTTGTTGAATATTGAACTGGATTACCTTGTTTACCAAATGGCAAAAGATAAAATTGTGATCTTTTGCTTGTTTATCACCATGGCTATCTCAGTTATTATCCAGTCTGAGTTACCAAGCCTTTCCATCAAACACAGTGTTGTGTAATTTTCCATATACACCCATTTTGAGAATTTGTTTTTTAAAAAATGTTGTTGCCAAAGCAACCAAGACCAACCAGAAAGTGTATTCACTTTCAGTACTGGATAGGTTCCTTTGTGGGAACAAGCCCTAGGCTGGGAACATCATTGGGAGTAGAATGGGTCACAAAATCACCTTACACCACACATCTGAGCCATGAAGCATATGCTCATCTGAGTAAATCCTTAACCAATAGCCACATACAGGTCTGCTGCGCTATCTGCTCATCTGGATAAGAAAATCACATGTAATACATTAGGGGTCTTCAAAAGATTCGTTTGGTGTCCCAGAAGTGTCTAGAAGCAACATCCAGAAACTTCTGGGACACCTCCAACATGTTTTTGAGCATCTGGACTCATCTGGACTTCTTTCTGGAGCCACCAGAAACATCTGTGCCTCTGTATGTTCATAATAAACAGGTCCTTCTTGACTTCCTTGTCACTTTGCATTGACTTGATCAACTCCTTTGGCACTACACCATATTACTCAACAACCACCCGCCAATCTTCACTTCTACTTCTAGCTCCTGCCTGCCTTTCCTTTGGCCTTTGTCTCACCAACCATCACCTCAAATGGATCTTGTGTTTTTCAAATATGAATCCAGAACTGAATTGTATTCTGATTCCTTTTGTGTAAAAAGTTGTTTTTTGTGATGTGACAGTGCAGATGAAAGCATCCAAAACCAATTTTGATGGTAGAAACAAGTCATTGATTGTTCAATTTTCAGTCAATTGTGCAGTTCAATTGATTGGTCAATTTCAATTGATTCATCAATCAACCAATTGTCCCATCTCAATCAATTGTTGAACTTCAAAAGACACAAAAACAAACCACTCTTAAAAGATGAGTTGCGTAGAAAGGTGGAGGAGAGTGTTGAATTTGGATTGGTTGTTGAGTTTTGATTGACTGTTCAATTCCAGTCAATCATTTGATTTCACCTGTTCTGCTTCAAGTGATTATTGAATATACACAAATGTTTTAATGCAAAAATGAAACATGCACCACCAAATAGGCACTTTAAATTTTGCCAAATGTGATTTATCAACCAGAATTGCTTAAGTGAACACCCCCTAAAGGTTAGCTCAAATGCAAACTATGCCTTTATGCTTATTTCAAATTGATGTGTAGCACAATATAAGGTTGACAAATTTTTAGATTACAATTATGCTTATAGGGTGCGTCAACTGTATCACAATGGCTCCTTGGGAAATATTCATGAAACTGGTGATCAGTAACAGAGGGGGAATGTGGCCCCTAGGACCCATGTTCACATCAGGAAACCTCTTTGATGCTGGCAGTGACAGGTTCTGTACTCTCTGTATTCTCAAATTCCAAACTTGGTCAAAAACAAAACCAGGCTTCACACCATGATGTGCATCAGTGCTCATGTGGTGGACGCAGTGCGATTTTGTCACCTTTGGACCACGGGTGGGCACGGCCTTTCTCTCACATTTGAGGGTCAGAGCTCCCCACGTACTCCAGTGTATAAAAAATGCCTTTTTACTTATACAACAGCAATATCTTGACCAAAGAACCAAAATCTCGGCACCAAAGGGCTGGATTCAAACCCCTAATCACTGGATTGAAAGCATTCAAACAAATATTCACTATAACTGAATGTAAAACACTGTCTGGACGGTCAATGTTTCACCCAAAGCATAGTGTCTGCAATAACCCAAATTGTAACCCTTGTGAAACTTTGCAATGTCAAGTTGAAGTTGATGCTGATGAACCAATATCAGTTGCAAATGGTGTTTGTAAATCTCATTCTTGTACAAGTAGTACATATTCATGTATATCAAGTGGATGTGATTTTATTGTTTTTCTTTGCGCCTCCTGCGCCCTCTCGCGCCCCTAGCCAAATAGCGGGCGTGTCTATTCAGAGCATCCCGTAATTCATTGTCAAATTGGATGCACATACAGAATGAGAAATTTTCTCACCTTGATGTATAAGTTGCACCCAATTTTCACAACTTTTTTTTGCAAAAGTGAGTGCTCCCTATCTTTTGGACTTGATAAGCCACCTAATGCAAGTTTATCAATTTCTGTAAGTAGCTTGACTTGATGGAAGCATCTATCCTTCTTCCCATTGTCACAATAGATATTGAAGCTGGACTGTTTTTTTGCTCAATTCTAGTTTGACAAGAATCAGTTCTTGGACTTATTGGTGAACCTGGGGAGCTAATCCATATTGAGATGACAGGGGTTGGGCAAAGAACCGACCAACCAGTTTCTGAGTGCCATTGAGTTGCAATTCAATTTTTTAGGAATGCTCAGGAACAATTGCTAAAACAATATCAAAGCCAACAAAAAAACTTGTCGTTCGCTTTGCTTTGCAAAAGAATCACCAAAAGTTGACGGGTGAGCGGTGTTCTTGCTCATTCCAAAGCCCAAACAATTCAAAAACCAAAAGCACTTTGTGCCACTCAAGCCACAGAAACAACGTCTTTCCACCTTTCACAAAGCAGACCCAGGTTCCACCCAGGCTCTTTCGGAGCTCAGCTCAGTTGAAAAGGCCTGTCTTCAGACCCAAACACTGACTTTGAGTGACCTGGCAGAGCAACAGGTCTGTGAAACCTGCACACTGTCGTTTCCGGCCATCTTCGACTTGCTTCGACTCCCTTCTGAAAGGCGCAAAACTGGTTGGTCGGTTTTCCGCCCAACCCCTGATATGTATCCAGTGTGGAGTTCATGTTAATTGAGATTCTTTTCATCGAAGCACCTCCGGACTTCCTATACAGCTATCTAGAGCAGTGTACGAAGTGTCCCTGTACCACTGCTCTAGACAGTGAAGAAGTCTATCGCCGATTATCGCCACTATCGCCGCTATCGCCGATTATTTGGCCTCAAAATCAACAAAAAACGACCAAGTCCCTCGATTTTCATATAACCCCCGGTAGACTCGGTACCATCAAACAGTATATGACCACCTGTACATGCTACCCAGATGTCCGGACCGGGCAACCCAAACTTCAACCTCTGCGATCACCACTTCTCGACTTCCACCACCTCATCGATTCAAACCACATCTTATCAATCACTCACCTCATGATGATTGTCCTCGAGTACCAGCACGATTGTGACATCCCTGACACGCCTGAGGTCCGAGTCAAGAGAGTCGAAAGAGGTTCGCAAACCGAAGGACCTGATGAGGCCTCCCCACCCCGATCACCACCACCATCTCAATCTCAATCAATACCGCCACCTCAAACCCCATCTCAACTTCCATCAACATCGTCACAATCATCAGGATTGTCAAACTTCATTCCAAAGTGGCAAAACTTGATCACGGTCAAAACACAACCCTACGAGCAATCTCCATCTGTTTCCGATCGAATTGTAAAGACTTTGGAAAAACTTGACCTCGAGGGTTTCAAATGGAGCAAGGAATCAATGCTCAAGGTATTAAAGGATCTTGGCGAAGCTGAAGTGCTCACTAGAGACCTTCAAGAGTGTGACATATTTGATGAGTAAGCCTGTGGTCTTTTCATTTGTTGAGACTAATACACTATTGACTCACTGACTCAAAGTTTACTTTTAGTGATGTTGAATAGCTTCAACATCCTGAATATCTGTTGTAGTTTGTAGTTGTAGTAGTTTGTTAGGTTATTTATGAAGGAGGCAGTAGATCGATTATTTTATATCTCGATATGTTGTTCAGAATGATGAAGGAGTTTTCAGTCACACCTTTCACTTTATTTCTCTGCTTGTCCTCTCAATATCTATGTTAGCAGTGATTGAATTAAAAGGAATTGTATTTTTTATTTCAGTGTCTTTATTTTTGTATCTCACTTTGGTTTTATCGTGTCCCACTTTGGCTTTATCTTGGTATCTTAACTCAATGATTCAATGGCAAAATATCAGTTTGGAATTGAACAATGCAGCTGCATTCTGGAGAAACTAAGGATTAGTAAAAATAAAATGAAATTAAGAAACAAAAAGAAAGTAAAGATGAAAAAAGGAAGACAAAAGACATTAAAAAACGAACAAGAACGAACGATGAAAACATCAAAACAAAGATAATGTAAAGAAGATGATAACGTAAAAAAGAAGAAAAAAGAAAGTAAGAAACGAAGTGGTAGTAACCACGAATGAAGACATAACAAGATGAAGTAGATGAAAACATAAAAAAGGAAGAAATTAGAGTTAAAAAGGAAGACAAAAGAGATTGAAAAATATGCGAAAGTCATGATGAAAACTATTCATTGATATCTTCATTTTCCTCTTCATCGGTCTCATCTTCATCACCCTCTTCGCTCGCTGATTCTTGTTCACGCTTCCGTTTTGGGGCCCGTTTCTTCAGACCCGAAGAATCCTTTGGAACCTGAGCCAACTCGAACAAACCTTTGGTGATATCGGTAGAGATACAGTCACCTTGTTCGTCATTGAGATTCTTGCTCAATTGAGTGACGAAACCCAACTCAGTTTGAGCTTCTGGATGTAGCACAATTTTAGCACCCCAGTGGAGCAGTCGAGCCTCGCAATTGATCCATGGCCAGGCGTAGTTTTTGGTTGGAAAAGTTTTTTCTGTTTTCGATGGGGATGTCCTGATTTCAGTGAAACTGGAATTGATTAGAGTTACATAATAAAGAGATGAGGCACTTACTAAGAAGTCCCTTCAATGCTGCACGAGCTTGGTCTTGTTTGGGGTAAGCAATCGATTTCTTTGCCTTGACGCCAGGCGTGTCGAGCTTGGCAACTGCAACCCCGGTGCAGAAGCTCTGAAACTCACAGTTGCAATAAGCAGAGCCGTACCTTTCCTGATTCAGTTTTAGCCAGGATCGACCCCTCGGAGAGCCAGCAAACATCTGGAACGCATTTGGTCCCAGATGTGATGATACACAAAGTATCACTATGTTGCTGTTGGTCAGAGAAGCAATCCTCTTTGCCTTCGTTTATAGATAAAACTGGTAAGCGGCTGGATTGAAAGGTAGGTTGTAGAGAGACTTTACATACCTCCACCTCGGTTTCGGCGAGCCACAATTCGGCAGTCTGTTGAGCGCTTGCGAGCGATCTACCTGAACCTACCCAGCCATTCTCACCAGTTGATTTTGGTTCGACAGAGTCGGATGAGTCTCCAGTGGTTTGGTTCAAGTCGTCTCCTTCGGCTCCCAACAAAACCGATGTGAGGTTTTTGGATTTGCGAACATATTGTTGGTAGGTCAGCTTTTCATCGAGAGTCTTCTCGTTCCATAAGTCGGAGAGTACACTGTTTGCTTTGCCCTTAATTCCACGGTCTACGTGGGATGAGTTTGAATGTGAGATCAGAAGAATCCCACAAGTTGACAAAGCGAGCATAACCTACGAGTGCGATATACTTCCTGCCCTTCAGGGCTTGCTTGAAAACCGTTCCAGAGAGTCGCATCTCGCATGGCCTTGAATTCGCCACTTTAAAGGGATTCAAGCAGTCAGATGTAATCAAAAGTGAAGCTTTTGAAAATGAGACTTACATATGCCTTGAAGCCCTTTCTGGCGAAACACGTCTGACAAGACAATAGATCACTCTGATTATGTCGAGGTCATTTTCAAGAGCCATAAAAAAAGAACCATCGGCTTGCGAGAATGACTTTTTACAATTCTTTGCCGCCACAACACGCAGTTCAGCAGCCAAGATTTCTTTTGCAACAACTTTCTTCATTACTTCTTCAAGCTGATTGGCGACAATTGGAGTGAATGTCTTGGCGCTGTCTGGAAGCATTGTAACAATCGATTTGGGGAGGAATTGGTCGAGGATTTGTTTCATTGATAGAGGTGGCTCAGTTGGAGTAGTTGCGGTAGAAGTGGGGGTTTGCTGAATTCGAGTTAGTTGAGTTCGAGTTGGGCCTTGCCCACGGCCGCGACCTCTTGCCCGAAGAGAAGAATTCGCGTGTCCACCACGTCCGGAGCTTGTGTGTTCACCACGTCCAGCATTTAATGAAGTTGGACGTGGCAGTTGGCCTAAAGGTTCTTGACGAGGCCCTGGACTCCAGTATGTAGTTTGACTACCAGGGCCAAAGTTTGCACCCACTTGGGAAGTGTGCTGGTACTGAGATTGGTGCGAAGGCTGCTGATACGATTGGTGTGAAGTCTGCTGGTACTGAGAGTGGGAGCTTTGATATGGCAGAACCGACTGAGTGAAAGGAGGAGTTGGTGGTTGGATGAAAGACCTGGTTGTTGAAGCCAAGATTCGTGCCTTGCGTGAAGTCGAGGTTGTCATAATCAGTT